CTGCCTCGGAAACCCAAGGAGGGGTCACTATGAGTCGGGGCCGACTCGACGGCATATAACAACAACAACAAGGGCTCGCTAAGGACCAACTTCTTAAGAGTTGTCACGAGAAGGCAACGCCTGCCAGGGAGGAAAGACAGGCAGGCCCAGTTATGAATCTCAGCTGGGCCACGTGCTACTCACCCTTCACATCAGTGAAAACCGCCGTAACTGTGCCATGATCCAGCCTGCCACCCAGCCAATCCTGCCCCACCTCACCTTCACGTGCTGTGCCCGCACCTTTTACATCCCCAAAGAGGCTTTGAGCCTTCTCTTGCACTAGCCAAAACCAAACCAAACCCACTGCCATCGAGTCGATTCCGACTCATAGTGACTCCAGTCCTGCTTCCACGGAGTGGCTCGTGGGTTTGAACCACCAACCTTCTGCTTAGCAGTCAGATGCCTTAGGCACTGCACTACCAGAGCTCCTTTCTTGCACTAAAGTGAGACTAAATGAGAACCATATGCACTTGCTCCGAGTCACCTACAAATTCCGCTTAAGGACACACTTAGGAACGACCGTGTTTGTAACCAGGGATTGCCAGTATTCAACATGTGTAACCACAAAGTAGCACTTGAAGCTGTAGGGTTTGGCTGAAAGCTCCAGGGTCAGTGGCCAATTTCCCAAAAGTCAAGCGTTTCCATTTGTTAACAGAGATGGCTGCTGTAACTGCAATAGTAAGCCATGCAAGAAAGATGGGGACAAGTGTCCCCTCACTCACCATCCAGTGACGCCTCCAATGAGCAGCTGGGTGGCCACGCTGTACTTCTCTGCGGACGGCCCAGACCCCTGCCCGAACAGCTTGCGCCACCACGGCTGCTTTCTAGCAAATTCTGCGAGGTCCAGCGGCTCAAAATTCTCCTCCAAGTTTCCTGTAAGTATTAAGATACTGAGTAAGAAAAGACCGACTTTGATAATAACTCATCACCGTTCCTAAACAGGTTGAGAGATTTTTAAAGAAACAAATACCATTCCATTTTAAATACTAAGTAAACCTTAAAATTCCAACTAACGATTTTGGAAAATTAGAGTAAAATCAACAAATACTAACACCTGTATTATAGGGGGAAAAAGTCTTTAAACTGTAGAATTCGTTCTCTAGTTTTTCCTCTCAAATTTAAAAACAACAGAAAGGCCCTGGGAACAAATGCCAGTCACGCTCAGTATTGCATCATCCGTGTACAGGCCTCTCCTCCTCAGGGGTCACTACATGATAATAACGGTCAGACATCACGTTTAACTGCATGCTTACTGTTTTCCAGGCAATGTGCTGATAAGTAACGAGCATGCAGATCTAATGAAATCCATAGAACAAGGTTGGTACTACTCATTAACCTTATTTTCTAATTAAGAAACTAAGGTGCAAAGGGAGGTTAGCAAAATGCCTAACCCCTCTGCTGACTGGAAACGTATGCACAGCATTAAGATACGTGTGGAATGTCAGCATTTACCACCCCGAAGTATTCATTGTCAAAATTCCTCCAGATGAACGTATGCATCTGGCCTGAAGCCTCTATGATCCTTTCACACACTGCCCATGCCCAGAGGCAAATAACCGAAAACCAAGATGCAAGCAAAGAAAATATAAGCCAAACCAAAGATCCAGATACTGGGGCTACCAATGAAGATGGTAAAGAAATGCTCAGAAGGTTGCACACATGTGTAATCAGAATTCCCAGGTCCTCGGCTACAGCAGATCACACTCAGCTGCTGCCTGCAAGGCTGTTGGTTCAAACCCATCCAGTGGTGCCACGGAAGCAGGGCCTGGCCAGGTGCTTCCGGAAAGATTGCTGCTGTGATCACTGTTGTGTTTAGGTGCCACTGACTCAGCTCCAACTCATGCTCACCCTGCACACAGCAGCCGCCTCAGCATCCTTCCTGCTCGTTGCTACCAAGTTGATTCCAACTCCTGGTGACCCCAGGTGTTTGGAGCAGAACTGCTCCCCAGGGCGTTCAAGGCTCTGACCTTTCAGAAGCAGAGCTCCAGGCCTGTCTTCCGAGGCGCCTCTAGGTGAGTTTGAACCCCCAACCTTTCAGCTAGTGGTTAAGCCCTTAACTGTTCGTACCACCCAGGGACTCTTCCTTCCAGAGCTCAGTTCTACTCTGTAAGGAGCGGGGTCACTGTAAAGTGGTGCCGATTCCATGGCAACTAGTTGGTTTGGTTTGGTTTGAACTGGAGTTGGAAGCCTGGAAGGAACAAGGTCTAATGAAAGGGAGGGACTCAGGCAGACAGAAATCGATGCTGCACGGAAGCTTGGAAACGTGCAAAGCAATGAAGGGCTCCAGAATGGGTAAGCAGCTGGATAACCCTAACCAAACCAAAACCCACGGCCACTGAGTCAGTTCTGAGTCACAGCGACCCTACAGGATAGAGTGGCACTGCCCACAGGATTTGCTAGGCTTCGATCTTTATGGAAGCCGACCGCCTCACCTTTCTCCCACAGAGCAGTTGGTAGGTTCAAATTACTGACCCTTCGGTGAGCAGCCAAGGGCTTAACCACTGTGCCACCAGGACCCCTTCCATAAAAGAAAACCTCATGAGGCATTTGTACTCTGTCACGTGGGGATGCTATGAGTTCAAATCAACTCAAGGGCACCTACCAACAACATTGTTCCCTTTACAGAACACATGCTGAAGGGCTGGGATCTGGGTTAGAGGAAGCAGAACGTCAAGCCAAGCCCCCCATCTCTCGATTTCTAGCTTTATCGCGCTAGGGGAGTTACTGAACCATTCTAAGACATGCTATTTCTCATCTACAAAGTGGAAGTTGTAATAATACCTACGTCATGAAGTTGTAATTAAATAAAATCAGGCATGAAAATTACTTGACACAGTACTTGCACTGAATACATGTCAATTTTTATTAGCGTAAATATTTTGATTTTTAACATTTATCGGCAGAGCTAAAAGAGCTTTCTAACGCTTGACCAGAGAGAGGCCTGCCTGTGGCCATCGCGGAGCAGCAGCTGTCCCGACCAAGGACCTGAGGCCTGAGCTCCCCCAAACCTGAACTCTAACCTGTTACAAACCAAAAACCCAACCCACTGCCGTGGAGCAGGACCCAACTCATGATGACCCCTCCGTGGGTTTCCGAGGCAGTATCACTACGGAAGTAGATTCCCCAACTTCCTTCCGAGGAGTGGCTGGTGGGTTTGAACCACCAGCCTTCTGGTTAGTAGTCAAGTGCCTTAGGCACTATGCCACCCCACAACTGAGAGTATGGTCTGTAAGTTGCGTTTGGCCACTGCAGTGAAATCGAACCCAGCAGAGAAGTAGAGGGTGCCATGGGAGGGACAGCTGGTGTCGGAAATTTAAACCGACACCAACGAGCCTGGGGGAGGGAGGACTGGTCAATTTCCAGCATACGCCAATACAAGCACCGTGAGTGACATCACTGAACTGTGATGTGACTGAGGACGGGTGCCAAGCAGCACCCAGTGGATACTATGGTGATCTCCACTGTACACAAATAACCTTAAGAGCACACGAAGTAGCAGAGCATGGTAAAGACCCCGGAAGTGATGCGTTCTCAGTACCTTCATTCCATTGGTTTTTAAGCATATGGTTTGGGATTGATCACGGTGTTTACCAACAGGATCTTTGAATCAGTACACAACTGAATCTAACCTTAAACATTCAAAGAAGTAGCGTAAAATGCGTGATTTAAAGACGTGCTTCTCTGACCACGCGGACTAAATCACAGACTCTTAAAATACCACCTCTTATGCTCCACTTTCAAAACCATGAATGATGACGTTGGAGAAGACCCCTGCACACAGAACTAACGCTCGCATGCACAAACGAACAAAGAAGCCACCTTAGTCTCAGGGGACAAGAGCGCTTTCGAGATCAGGGACGAATGTCTCCAAGCTTCAGCTATTTGGGGCGGCGCAGGAAGGCCGGTGAGCCTTACAGGAGGCGACACGCAGGGGCGGTTCGGCCCCAACCCTCCTCGTGACCTTGACACGACAAAGGAAACGCTGGCCGAGGGGCAAACCTTCGCCTGCTCGGCTCGGGCTCCCCGGAGAGCTCAGTCAGGACTGGCAGGCGCGGAGCCCTTCCCCTTCCGGAGCTCCGGAAGGCGTCTCCCGCCGCACGAGCCGCGCGCGCGGCCGCCCTTACCTTGACTGGTTGCAGCCATTTCGGCAAGCTCGTCTCGCGAGCACACCCGCAGAGTCTCGGCGCGGTGGGACGCGAGGTGGCGCGTTGTCGTAGCCACCAGCTGGCTTCCGGCACGTGGGGCAGTTGTTTCCATCCGGACGGCCACGGCGAAAGAGGGCGGACTGGCGCTCAGGGGCGGGTCCCCGACTCACGCAGGCGCACCAGCTGCATCACAAAGCTCGCTCAGCGGGCGTCACAGGCCTTGCGGCCCCGCCCAACAGACGCACCGCAGAAAGGGGAGGGGGAGCAGTGCTGAGACGCGCGTGCGCAGCAAGTCCACCGGGCGGCACTGCCGTTCTTGCAGAGCGGTGGCTTTCTGCGGGTGACCCAGAGACGATTTTCGGGAAGCGCGGCTCCGCTTTGCGGGTTGTTAGCTTACCCGCGGCTTAACTGAAAATGAAGAAAGTAGGTTCTTGGTGCTTATTAATGTAAACATTGAATAAATATTTATTAGCGCCCGCCATATGCGTGATGCTATTCTAGTGGAAGAAAACATTTTTCAAATTGTGATTTAGGTCAAAGTTCACAGAGCAAACTAGTTTTCCATTCAACAATTTATACATTTTGTTTCGTGACAGCTCTTTTCCCACTTCCTTCCTCCGTTCCCCGTTTCTTTCCGGCCTTTTCTCAGTCCCTTCCTGCCGTCCGAGCTTTGTTTCTGGGCAAATACTGCCCTTTTGGTCTCCTACGGTTGCCTATTGTGAAAAGTACTTTCCTCGGACGGTTACTGTTCTGTTGATAAACCTGTAGTTTAGCTGCAAGGTAATCCCTGGGGGTGGGTTCTGTTTCAGGTTTGCAGGGTGTCTAAGCTACACTCTCGGGGTTCCACTACTCTATCAAATCAGTAAGTCTAGCCTTGTCGATGATTTAGAATTTAGTCCTACGTTTCTCTCCCTCTCCGTTCAGGATGTTCTATCGTGGGAAACCGAAGGGGCCCCTCGCTAAACATTGCATTATTTACCCCCTGATGTGACTAACTTGCTCTTTTTCCCTCCCTTTTGCTCTATTGTGGGTACTGGCGCACAACTTCCACCAAAGGTCATGTTTTCATGGAAGAAAACAAAACGGGAATTATACTTTTCATAAAAAGGAGAGGGAAAAGAAACATTTTAAAAGTATTACAGCCACAGTAAGAAAACCGCTAAGAGAGAAATGAGCCCTGTGCCTGCAGTGCTTGTTGTTGTTATGTGCCGTCGAGTCGGCCCGACTCATAGCGACCCCTCCTTGGGTTTCCGAGGCAGTATCACTATCATAGCGACCCCTCCTTGGGTTTCCGAGGCAGTATCACTATCATAGCGACCCCTCCTTGGGTTTCCAAGGCAGTATCGCTATGGAAGTAGATTGCCCAACCTTCCTTCCGAGGAGTGGCTGGTGGGTTTGAACCAGCAGCTTTCTGGTTAGCAGTCAAGTGCCTCAGGCACTACGCCACCAGAGCTCCTAAAGGAGGGAAGGTCCCACCGAGGTGCAGTGCTTAGGGAGCCCTTTAAAGAAGCTCAGTGAGGACATCTCCCCATCCCATCCCCATCCCAGTTAACAGCAACTCAACCCTTCCACTCGCTCAGACCAAAAACCTTGGCTGAAATCTCTCCGATGCCATTAATGATCAGCCCCTAGCAGCACTACCTTCTCTGAGTCAGGCCCCCGCCAGCCTATTCTCCCCACCGTGGCCTGAACATCAGTCTCCAAGGTACTTTCACTCATGTCCCTCTTCCAGTCAGAACCTTGCCAGGGCCGCCCTTTGCTCAGATGTAGCTTTCTCAGCGAGGCCTTCCGTGAGCACCCGCACTCATCATTACCCTGCCTACTTCCCTTTTTGCAGGGCACTTGGCTTACCCTCTAACACTGTTCAGTGTGTTCTAAGTATCTCTTGTGTCTCTTTGAGTCGCTCCTTTTGCCCCACTGCAGTGCACCCAGCACCTGCAGCACTGTCTGTCTAGGACAACCGGGCAGATGTGTGGCCTAGGCAGACCCTTTAGGTTCCTCAGTTGCTTTATCTGTGTGCACTTTGGGGTGTTATTGTGAGGATTAGACGAGACTGTGCGTAAAGCCCCGGCATCAAGTTGACCACCCTGTGTAGTGATCTCTCTACCTTTTTATGTGCCCCCACTCCCAGAGGGCAAGATCTGAGTTTTATCTATCTCTGATGAATGGAAGTGTACATAGCATAGGGGTTGGGAACATGACTTCTGGAGACAGATTGTATGGCTTTGAATGCTCCCACTTTCTAGCTGTGTGATCTTGAGCAAGTTGCCTAACCTCTCTAGACTTTCAAACACATTCTTAATTAGGTGCAGAGTAAAATAATCAAATTCCCTGGACTTTCAATGGTGACATTTCTTATGGCAACCCTAGTCAAGTGTCTTATTAGCTCCTACACAGTCAGGCCATGGAGAGGCCTGTGTATAGTAGACATTAATCTGACTGGGTGTGCACAGTGCTTAAGGTCTGTCTCTTCTTGAGCTCAGCATGGCTACATTGTGATATAA